AATAAACGTGGTTATGTAATTGTTAAGGTGTAAATAATAATATGTTCTTTCAAACTGGATTTCATGACCAACTAGTATGAAAAAAAAAATTTTAAAAATATATACATACTAATAATTAAAGCTTTATTTAGTTGTGTTTTTCTCCTCTTAAAATGGTGTGCGGTTCATCTCGATGGATGACGTACAAATTTATGTGTTTAATGTTCATGGAGTCTTGTTTGATTTGGAATTTTTGTGATATTTGATTATTAATCTTATAAATACATACATTATAATATATAAAGAAAAACAAATAGCAAACCTTGTTTTATTGTATTTTATCATAGATATGTATAACAATTATATGGTAATTGTACAATAATATGTTTTTATATTTTTTTTTACCCAATTAAGTTTTCTATTTCCTTTAACTTTGTGTACCTACTACCTAAACGTCTCATACCTAACCTGACCAGAGTTATGAATCAATTTATTGTTAAATTGAAATAATACATAAAATTATTAGTTTATTCTGTTTTTCCCGTAGTAAAAATGTAATACCTAATTTAAATAAGTAGAAGTTGTATTGCTTGTTCAAAGCTAAATGTATATTATACATAAATAATTGTATTTTTACACACTTTTCTTAACTTCGCTCTCATGTCTGTTTGTCCGTAATCAAATCTTGCGCGCTCGATTTGTGGCACTTTTTGACAATCCGTTGTCATTTTGGGACACGGACCTCCAGGTAGGCGATGACGGTTGTGCAAAGTCATCTCCGAGGAAGTAAAGGTACGAAGGGTTTCTCTGGATCCCCTTATAGCAACGGATTGTTTCCACGACGATAAATAAATATAAAATATATTATAAAAATATAATTGTAAATATTTCAGGTATTCACAGACATGATAATATTCTATTAAATTAATTCGAATCAATTAAAGTTTTCCGGTTTTCATAAATTTTACAAAACAGTAAGCATATGATGAGTTTTACATCAATGGTCGACGCTATCAAGATATTTTATCTATCGACGCTACTAAAATGAGAGAGACAATCACTCAACGCAAACGACGGCTGGAGAAAGCTCGTAATAACAGGGATAATGAAGGTCGTATTGTTAAACGAATCAGACTCGATGCTTACAGCCAATATATGAGGCAATGGAGAAGTGCCGAAACAACAGAGCAGCGCCAACAACGATTACAACTCGATCAAAAGCGACATTCACTGCAACGTACAAATGAGAGCCTGGAAGAACGAGAAGCTCGCTTACTGCCCGATCGGCAGCAACCTGAAACAAGCAGGACATAGGTACCGGACGTAATGGTGGATATTGGCGTGGATGGGATCCACCTGATCAAGCCAAAATCATTACAATTTCCAGCATAATTCAGTTACGGAACTGCCGAGCGCTTTATGCTGCCTTTAATATTAACATGGGCTTCAACAGCCCATAAAATGCAGGGCACCACAGTCGATTATGCTGTCGTTTACTTGGGACAGAAACTATTCGTTCAAGGTCAAGCGTACGTCTGACGTCATCATTAGCAGAGTTCGTAGCCTCGATGGACTACGTATCGAAGAATTGGACGCTTCAAAAATAACGGGCAAGACATTCTGTAACGTTGACGCTTTGGATGAAATCGACAGAATGAGACAACATCGTCCCAATATCTCGGAAGCAATTGTAAATGAAGGACAATAAATTATAAGTGGGTACTGTAAAATAACAAAATATATTATACACATAATGATCTCATAACGAAATTTTTCAAAAAAAAAATTTCAATTTGCTGTGGCAAACAAAATAAATGTCTTGTCATAAGTAGTTTGATTCTTTTTATTAAATATAAGAAATTTGTTTCACAAATATATTTTTTAAACGTTTAATAAAAAAAATTAACTTTCAACTAAAAAGTAGAAAATAAAAAAATAAAAAAATATATTTTTTTTAAACACGCTTCTATAAAAACATATTATTTAAAAAAAATAATTTTCTGTACTTAAAAATAATGAAAAATTTAAAAGTGTGTGGTGCATCATACAAAACATTTAAAGCCGAGCTAAGTCTCACATACACTTCTTTGTTCTATCATGTTTATAAGATATAGTGACTGGGAGTATATGTCAAGTGTAAGAGCACCACACACTTTTAAATTTTTCATTATTTTTAAGTACAGCAGTACAGCAAATTATTATTTCATAAGTACAGATCAATATGTACTTCAAGATGTAGAAATGAACATTTAAATATTCTAGCCTTAATTTAGTTTTACGACAGTTAAAAATTCAATACAAATTACTCATTATATATATAAGTAATAACTAGGGGCCGGAATTATATTCTTTTAAAATAGCCAAAATGAGATGCTAATATTCTTTAAAAATCATAAAAAATATAATTTTTTATTAATTTATTCACTTGAACTAAAAATATGTACCTATTTATACGCAAAATAATAAAAAAAATTAATATAAATAGGTATATACTAAAAAATAATGTGCAAAATAATACCAAAACATAGGCACATAATAAAGAGAATTTTGTGAATCAGTAATCATCATAGGCGGGGAAAAATTATCTCTAAGTTGAACTTCATCCATTCAAAACTAGCTATGTTTTTCAAAATTATCCATCGATTTTTTTGGTTGAAGTCGATCAATTTTTTTAAAAATATTATTTCCATTTTTTCCGGGTTATTTTTTGAAGTTGACCAATTGTATTTTTAATTAGATTTGTCGAATCAACAAGAAATATATTAGACTTTTCTAACCTTTTGATCGATGTTTCAATAACAAGAAAAAGTGCCTTAATAGATATTATATCGTTTTCTATGGTTTCTAAGTCAAAAGCTGTTTTACATTATGTACGGACTGACTGGACGATTTATCTTGAAAAATTCTCAAATATGCAAAAAAAACTTTTGCCCTTAATTATCCGGTTTCGTGATTAGTGAAGATTTCCAACCCCCGTCTTACTGCATAGGCTCAAAAAAAATATCCAAAAGAATATAATTCCGGCCCCTAGTCATAACTTAAGTGATAAATATTTGTTGTTAGTTTCATTGTTTTTAATTTTACCAAATATTGACTAGATTATCCTTCCGACTTGGTCTTAGAAAAATTTGATCCTTGTTTTAAAATTGGAGTAGTCCTTTTTCAAATATATTTAATCTGTGATTTTTAAAAAATATGTAATAACTAATAATTATTATGGTTTGGTATTAGCAAACTAGTGTAAGTCTTAAATTGAGGATACTATAAAAATAATTAGAAAAAGCTCTAGTGATTAGGTATCTCATTGCTAAGTCACAGATATCTCTATAATGGCTATAAATTTGAATTCAATGATGCTTAGTCATTGTATATAAATACACCATTCTGAGCATAAAGACCTAAAGGAGTAAAGGACTACAACATTTACACAGCTGACATTCCCAACTCCGAAAACACACTGATAGCCACTTACGCCGACGACACGGCAATCCTCTCATCTCATTCCGATTCCACAACAGCATACCAAAACTCCAAATTCATCTTGATAATATTTCAAAATGCTCCGCCAAATGGAGAATAAAAATCAATAAACACAAACCCTTACACATTCATTTTACTTTAAGAAAAGCTGCACTTCCTACAATCTATTTTCAAAACAATCCAATCCAAACCACATAATAGGATAGGTACGTATCGTAGTATACTATTATTATATATTATAATATATTAAAGTGGTTGGTGAGGCCCATCTATTCTGTGGCTCGATCTGCAGAAACGCTCTGAATGTACATACATCGGCCACCGTTGATACCTAGCTCCCGGGTGGGTGACCAGTGACCACCTAGGTTTTAGCAACAATGCCTTGTCACACATACAAAAACGTGTTCCAACCAATCGCATTGGTACCTCACACATAGTACGAGACTAATGACCTTGGTAGTTGAATGTTTAATTCAAATAAGAAAAAAATATATATACACATATGATAGGTATATAGGTAATAATATTTATTATTTTCCAATACTATGACGGGGACACGGGGTAGATTATTATACTTGTACGGCTGGTATGTGACGTAATACGTATGAGTAGCGCTGTTACAACTCTAATTTAAAATAATATGCGCCTGAATCGTACTGCAGGCCAATATGGTTAAAATGACATTGTATCAGGGAAGTTTTTACTGAATACCCCTTTTACGGACTGTATAATATTATATGTATTTATGTATAACTATTTTATGTTCAACAAGAACTCAAACATATTATTATCTAATATTATTGTACAGCGGAGCAGTGGCCACCGGGGGTCGTTTCCAACCAAGACATTTTTTCCGAAGCAAACCTGCAGCGTCGGAAAAACACCGACCGACGATAGGTATTATACAAAACATGCACGCGTGTATTGTATACTCTAACAATAGCCAATAATATCTAGGGAAATCTTATGAAAATGCTCATCAATTTGATTTCAATGAATCTATAAAAATGCTAGGCGAAAATTTGAAATTGACTAATAACTAATAAGGGAGCCGCATTTTAAACTCACAACTGTGACGTCTACATAGATAATATAAGTTCTTATTATTCTTTCATTGTCTATGGACGTTTAGAGTTTCTTATAATATCACTAACGGTACAACTTGTAGGAGTGCAGTTTACTTCCCAAGCGATCTTTTAGAATTTTTTTTTTTTTGGAAATGTTAGTATTTTTATGCTCAACGTGATGGTGGACTTTACCCATCTTACTTACTTTTAATGTTATTGTTAATAAGCCACATACAACTTAATAAAGGTTTTATGCGGTTTGCCTATTAACATTCGCTGCACAGAATTATTTTAAGAATCGGCCTCTTTAGCGCTACTGGCGGACAATGCCGTTAAATTACGACGCTGACTGCCGATGAAAGGCCACCTAGATCCCACTAGTCATATTTACTCACTACACCCGACACCCGCGTATTATCTACATTCTACATCGCGGTCCTGTCCATGACAAATTAAATCGTGGTCTCATATAGTATATACCGCGGTCTAGTCTGGCGTAGCTATATTTTAGCATTATAAATTAATATATTATCACTTTGATAGTGTCTGCTTCTGCTATTATCGTGGTGCTTCGCTCTCGCAGTTGACGTGAACTTTTCTTTTGTTTTGTTTTTGTTTTTCGTGAAAATATTTCGCAATATTATTATATTAATATAATATATATTTTGTTCCACATCGCTTAATATTTTAACATTATTGTATCATCGTAAGTCATAAACCATAACCCGCTCAGTCTTATATAAGACTTACAAAAGCTGTTCAAAAGCCAATGACACAGATTACTGGGTAAGTTTTCCTTACGAACCAGTAGCCCATAACAAAAACAACGGTGTAATAAATATTAGCGATACTACTGCATAGACTCAATGGACTGCAAGTAACCGGTCGCATACGACACGAAGTGTCATGGAATGGATCGTGTTCCAACGGCGAGTATCGTCTTTAGGTGGATAACCCACTCGTTCACCTACCAGATTCAATCAGCGTACGCGTGGCGTTAAGTGAATACAATTATCGTGGCGTGCCTACAACGTATTAAAAATTAAAATCCAACAGTTTTTAAAAATTATTTGTCCCAATCGTGTTGTCCCCCTAGCCCCCACCCTCGGATGTCATCATTTCTATTTAGCTACACTGCGTTTCCTTGATATATAATTCCCCCTGACAACTATATAATAAATCGGCCTAATAATAATTCACCTGTTTTTTCTCAATCCAAAAGTATTTTTAACATTGCACCATAAATGTTTACTTTATAATTTCTTAATATATTTCAATAAAATAACATTATTTATTTGATCAATTCATTACATTTAAGGGTAAATAATACATCTATCATGGGCCGTCGTTTAACTGGACCGTCTGCTAGGACTCGTGATGCACAACCCCTTCCCATATCAACACAACATAATTCATCTTCAACAAATGATCGAAACAATTTATCACAACATGATGAACTTATTCATTTTGTTGGTGGTTGTAAGTATTATATTTTGTATAAAATAATATCTAATAGAGGTATATGCATAATGTGTAGCTCCATGTATCTATAGTTTAGGTTATATTTCCTAACTCCGACACCTCCCAGTGACTGAAACATCTTTATAATTAATTTGTTTTTCATATAGTCTTGAATATTATATTAAGGGATTTGGAAGCAGTCATTTTTTGTCTTTGTCTAACACATGGAACATAGGAATTAAGACATGTTTTCATTCCATCATACTAGATAATTGATCTCTAGTGAAACAATAATAATTCTAAAAACCAATTTGAATTTTTTTCAAGTCTACTTGAGATCGACTTTCCCAGATTTTTATTTTTGTGGTTTTAACTTCTCCAAAAATTTAAATATTTTATTTCCTTATTTAGTATGAATTTTTTTTAATATTTAGAGGGATAAAATAAAAGTGGGAAATTTGATCTGAAGTAGACATGGTGAAAAATTCAAATCTTTTTTTAATTTTCTCATCACTTCAATAGATCAATCAGTACATTGGAATGTTAATACACCAAATATCCTATACTCTATATTATGTGTTAGACAGAGACAAAAAATCACTGCTTCCAATCCCCTTAAGCTATAACTTATCTATAATCTCATATAAAACTCTAAACAAAATAATTTTAGACCTTATTTATCGTAGATCTGTGCTATACTATTATACCTTCGGTTGTATCATTCATTTTTATATTACTATTATATTACTTGAACACCTATGTTGAAGTTGTGTAGGTTTTTAAAATTGTAGGTCATTAGCAAAGTATAATTTTTTTATCCTTAAAAATATAACACTTGATAAAGAAAATAACATATTATAAAACAAAACCAAATCATCTTGTATACTTATTTTTTAAATATATTATTTAAGTTTATTTTATGCACATTTGCGAGTATTCTTATAAATTACCTATAAAAACATTTAAGTTCTATAACACATAATCTCTGAATAATCCTATGTACTTTCAAATTATATTTTATTTACAAATATTATTATAATTATTAATTTCACTTAAAACGTATTACATAAACATACATTTTTAACTACAATTTTTTTAAACTTAAATCAAAAATAATTATGTTTGGGTGTATATTAATAATACATTGAGAAAGAGTTATGCCTTCTAATTTATAATTTGTTATTACTAATGTTTTAGCATGGAATGTCATTTTTCAAGAATATCAAAATGGATGCCAAGGATCTAACGGTAAGTTTCTTATCCTTACAAGTTATTAAAATTAATTAATTATAAGGTTACTCGTTAAATTAAGTATCTCCATTCAGGATAAATATAACTGTATAGGTACTCTTAATACACATATATTTATTAATTTTCTTCTATATTAAATCTAAATGTAAAAATTTATAATTTAAAATAATGACGATTTATAATATTAAATATACCATTTATTTTGATCTATAATTTTTAGGTCGTTTTCATATACAGTTCTATGAAGAAGGAAATAGTGATACATTAAAAGGTATTATGCTTTAATTTTATTTAATAATATTTGTATTTCTTTATTGCTTATAAAATTAAGTTAATGATTATTGATAAATTATAACACTATGGGTATTTATATTAGAATGATTGTTATTTATAACTTAATGAGTCAAACTTGCAAGTTTGTGCAATTACATATGAATCTTGTTAAGTAGTATTTGTTATAAGGCCATAAAAAATACTAATTTGCTTAATTTTTGTGATAGCAAAATTTGACTGTCCTACCTAACAATTAACCTCAAACAGACTTAAAATAATATTTATTTTCCTAGTACTTAGTTTACCTAAGTCCAATACTCAAGTATGCTACCTTGCCAGCTGCCACTTACACAACTATATTGCAATGAGACATCTGTCTTATCAAGCTATTGCCATTTCAGTCCTGATGTTTGATGACTTAGAAATTGGTGTTAAAACATCATAATTCATTATAATATGTAATTTTATTTTTTAGTATATGTTACAAATATATAAAATACATACTAAAAATTAAAAAACATAATTAATACTTGAAATTCTTAGACCCGGTGATTCACCAAGCATGCTCACTTTCTTTCTTTTTCAATAATGCAGTTAAAAAATCTGATTTTTTAAGTTTTTAAATATACTTATGACCATATTTGTAAATCCTTGAACTTATTCGTACTACTTAAGAAGATATAAACTTCTGTTTTCAAATTACAACCCTTGTATTATACAGTTAATTATTTAGCTACTAATTTTTCCGACGTATAGAAATATACATCTATTTTATATTTTTGTTAAGCCATTTTTAAGGGCATTATCCTTAATATTAAGCATAATAATAGAAAAACTACCCTTTTGAATTTTGAAACGTTTTGATCAATATTTTTAAAAAAATATCTACTAAATAATTCAAAGTAATAAAAGGGGGTTCTCATTTTATAAACAGTCATTTGTATCACCATATGACACTCCTTAAGTAGTCCAAAACATCTCAAGAATTTCATAGCGAGTTATATACATTTTAAAATTTTAATATTTTTCCGTGCTCTGTAAAATTTTCTTTCCATTAAATAATATTGAGAATAACATAATATGGATTTTTCTGAATGTAAATGTCAATATTTTATGAATTTAAGGCGGAAGAGAAATGTTTGAATGTGAAGTCCCTTTAAGTCTATATTACAGTCATTTTTGATAAATAAATGCATGTATATTCAGCTTTTGTAGTACATGAATAAGAATTTAACTCATAAGAATAGCAAAGTATGAATGTTACTTTTTATGTTAATATGTAGGTAATATTAATAATAACTGCTCACATCTTATTCAGATTGTAAAAATATTTGAATCATCCAGTTAGTATTAAATGAAAATCGTGATTTGATTAAATGGTTACTAATTTGTTTACCTTTTATGGTAGGGGAACATGTGCCAGAAAAATAATGCTTACTGTGGTATTGGCACAGTGACACTTTCAAATTTAAATTTGTAAATTTTAAAACAGCCTTCCTTAAATGAAATTGGCATAATTCCTAAGATAGCAAAAATATTTTTAATTGTTGTTGTTTGTGGTATAAATATAATTAGTATGTATAATAATTGCAATGATTGAATTTGTAACTATATATTTGCAAACTGAGGTCTTTTTAATGTCAGTATTTGATATTTTGATATTGGTTCTATTAAAGTTATTAAACAAATTAATGCTTATGATAATAATTTATATAATTTTTATGAATTTTATTTGTTTGTATTACATGTACAACTAAAGCATTGTTTTATGACTTATTATACATTTCTTTTAATCAAATTTTTCTAATACATTCTCAAAATCTGTCTTATATGTCTATATAGACACGACCATAGTTAAGTTTTGTACTTGCAATGCATATTTATTAATAAACAAAGTATAACATTTAATTGTTATTATAATTTAATTTTAGTATTCATTGTAAGTAGATAATAATAATTTCATAAATTACTAATTTATGAAAATAAAAATTGCATAATATATATTTTTTGAGCTGGTCTTAAGTATATAAAATATCAGTAGCTGTAATTTGATGTCTTGGTGTATGTGTTAAAATGTTTATTTATATTATTAGTGCTATGTTCAATAAATATTTATTAATAAATAACAATCTTTTTAGATAGTTAATAAAATGTTTATGCTTTAATTTATTTCAGGTTTTAAACCCTTTGATCTAGAAGCTTGGTGGGGAAAACAAACCATCCAACGATACCAACAACGTTCCTAATGTTATTATGCTAATAAATTGTGTTGTATTTTTCAGTTAATTTTTTTTTCCCAATAATTTAATATACTAAATGGCTTATGCCTAATATCTTGAAACTGACAATTAAGTTATACATTATTATCTGCTATCAGTTATTAATTATCAACTTCATGCAGGTATGTTCTAAAAATGTATGACATGCCATAATATTTTTATAATTAAAAATTTTATCATGATTGGCAAAAAAAAATTAACTAGTATTATTTAATTTAATCTTTCAAATTAAAATATATAATGTATATATATAGATTTTGATAGTAGGGATTAAAATATATATTTATCTCCATCAATAAATTTGACATTCCAAGTAATTGGATATTTTAAAGTAGCGTGTATATTCGTTATTATATATTTTATTTTTATTATAGTATGACATTATGTTTCATCTACAATTTATTTTATTTTAAATTATTATATGTGTTTCAATAAAATACTTATAATTTAACGATTATTATTAATTTATCCATTACTATTATTTTAAAACTTAGAAATGTCAATGTTCTAGTTAACAAAACTTTATTATTACTATATTATTATTTATAAATTATAAAATATAATTTTTTTCACATTATTATTGAGTATTCAACCAAACCAATGTAGATAATTCAACATTGTAAATTGTAATAATTCATTAAGTAAATCAGTAAATGTACTTGTAATCATATAAATATGTAGTTTTATATTTTATACATAATTTAGCGTTAACATAGTTAATATATACCAACATTCTTCTAAAAAATGTAAGTATAATCAAAGTTATCATTTTTTTCTATTTAAAAAAAATATATTATTTTATACTGAAATTGAAACTTGTGTTTTCCTTATAACATAATATTATGTTTTGTTTTTGAAATGTTGACATACCTACCATATTATATATATATATATATATATTTTAAGAATTAATAAAAAATAGTTTTTTTTCTCATTTGGTTTTTAAAACAATTTATGGAGTTATGACATTCATGTAATATTGTTAAGATGTATAAAAAGTTATAAGATGTGATTTATATATGTCATATAATATATTTAAAAAAAAAATTCCTCTTATACTGGTTTAAAATATTTATTATTATAAATAATTCATTACTTAATGAATTAGAGTTCTATTTCTCTTGATTCATTTAATTCTTAAAACTTAAAACTTTCAATATATTATTGACTAATATACCGAATACTAATGTTTGAAATATTAAATTGAATGTACTTATATAATTTTATTAAATATCGTTAATTGAAGAAAGAAGAATGATTACACTTAAAATCCATACCTATGCTTAATTATGCTAATTATTAAACTGGAAGTAGGTATATAAATTGAAACAAATTACTTACCAGTTGACAGTTACCCATATTTTGACAATTGACTTATCTGTTTTCTTATTCAAATATAGATCTACATTTTTATTTTTTTTTTATGATGCAAACGTAATAAACACTTCATAGTTATTTGTTTAGTGATACAAATATTTATGTAATAATGCTTTGATTAGTGCAATCTATAAGTTTATGTTAATCTAGGTGGTCCTACTGATAATCAGCTCATTAAACCATATAATATTATGTGGGTACTTCTTGGCTAAGGCCAATGTCAAGAAATTGATCATTAAAAATGGTATTGTGGGTAATCTTAACTTAAAATGTATGCTATCTTTTTCTTTAGAGACTTCAACATTCAACAACAAGTTTATCACCTTGGGTAGACATATTGATTTCATGTTTGTTGTAGCACAACATTAGATGAACATAGAATATTATAGATTCTGTCAATAGGTGGGCATGCCTACCTATAATACCTAGTGACTAGTGTATTAGAAATTAGTGTGCATCATTATTGAATTATTGAAGTAATGACTGGGACACTTCATGTGTTTTTACTTTTTGTACCTATACATTTTGCAAAACATTTTTTTAATTTGTATTCTAGAAATTCTCGAGGGCCATTGCTCTGTGTTTTCTGTACAGACACATTAGAAACAATATCTATTAATATTGTAGGTAGACAGTATTGGTGGCCGATCTCGTTATTTTTTTTTTTAATTAACCTACCTAGGTATAACGATTGATTGGACCGGGGTAATGGTATTTTTGCGGTTGACGCATTTAATTTTAATAACTACTACGCAGTTGTAGTTGTACGTAATACCATGTTATGAATTCAGAATTACGATTAGGTAATGGACTCTGTAGTATGCCCTGTGTGGTGGTAATGTTACCGCCATTATTCGTCGATGTCCGAGATCATTGTCGAGAAGGCATTAATTCAGTCTCAGGTCGTGTACTAGTCACTGTATATTACCCGAACTGAGACGGAGCAATGCTGGTAGTAACTAGTGTGCGATGACAGCAAACAGTTTATCGGATTATTTTTTTTTCGCGGCCCCGGGATCACGATGATCGGTTCTATTGCATTATCATATTATTATAATTATACGAATCGCGAACCCTATGCCCAGAAGTCCGATAGAATATCATTGAGAGTATTTAGATGACTAAATGAAGCTGACAGAAGTTGCCGACCCGTGAATTATTTTGAATAAGGTAATAATTATAACATTATATTAATTTTTCAAATAAAAAGAACGTTACTTCGACGATCGGTAAAGTTCACCGGTCTATTGGAAGGGGTTTCGAGTTTCGACGGGCTTCCGGTACTCCGGTAGCATAGGTATCCATTATTCACTGGCCATTTTCCATTGTTATTATAATATGGCCGCTGGCCATGTAACTATGCCTGCCTACGCGTAGCACCATATATTGTAAATACTAAATAGTACTGTTTACAACCTATGAAATAATACCTACATTCAGTTGGGATTATTAACATTTCTGGTCCTACAAATGTTTAGTTATTAGTTATTACTTTTTATAGATATTAATGTTAGAAAATAGTTATCAATAATAGATATTAAAAATTGCACGGCTGGTTTAAAAAAAATAAGTTCTGACGCAGATTATAGTTTTTTTTTTGTTCTGACTTGGGTGAGGAGAGTGGAAGGGTGTCCAGTACGTTTATAAATACGAGTACGTACCTACGTTGACATGGGAGTTACTTTTAGGTTAGATTGTATAACTACTATAATTATAGAATATAGACTATAGACTATAGTAGTATAGTAGGTTACTCGTGCTCGTAAAAATAACTAAAAGTAATAAATGATAACCACACATGACACACTACACGGATTTAGTTCATTATAATAATTGATATAATTATATTGTACACTTGTAAATATGGGTACTCTGTCCGGTGTTGTAGAAAACACTTCCTAAAAGTATTTGCACATTATAAACCGATTAACCCTCAAAAATATTCACATTTTTTCAACTGTTTTTCCGAGTAGGTGCCTACAGTCTACTCTTAAACATTCTAGAAAAAAAGTATTTAAGATAATAATATTTTGATACCTATCAATATATAAGTAGGTACTTACCTATTTAAATACTTCTACTCAATTAGGTATAGTAATTATACTTACCTACTGTGTACAATGCTCTAAGAACTGACACTTGACCTATAGGTACTAGATAGGTAGGTACATACAATGTGGTACCTACTGACGGCGTAACTAGGACCTTTTTTTGAGGGTGGAGGGCCTCCCGTATGATATATGGATATTTGTCAATAATGAATTGCGGAATAAAAATCCCCTTCCCTAGGAAAATAAATCCCTGACTACAATTTTTCTCACTTACACCTGCAAATTATTGAACAAATATTTTTTTAAACGCTAATTAGTGTAATTAGTAATTACCAACATTAATAATATTTAATTACAAATGTATGATTTTAGTGTAGTAGTATAAACTTAAAATGTAGAAAATATTCAATTTGTATAACTGAGGATTGAAAATTGAAAATATTACGTTTTCTATAATATTTTAACAATAACGTTGTTATTATAAAATTATTAGAAGGTGTATTTTCAACTTTAACTTTTATATATATGTATTCTAAAAAGAATTATTGGAAATTCTATACTTAAAAGTTAAAATATCATAAAATAAAATTAAAAATAATTATCAAACAACAGTTAATGAATGTAGGTATTCAAAGTTAAAAATAAAGCATGAAAAATATTTCGAATGCACCTAATTTTACAAACAATAATAATAATAATAATAAAATAACAAAATAATATTAAATTATATACATTTTCTGTTTGCTGGTTGTAGGTACCGAAACTTCTTTAATCTAAAGTCGTAAGTATTTTTACATTAAATTAATTAAAATATACCTACTCATTAGTCATTAAGCTACTCTAATGGGTGCTCCTAACATGTCGAGAACCATAGCCCTAGATACTATTCTTACCTTTAAATTTAATCATAAGTCATAGGACAAATATTAATATTAAAAATAACTGGGTAAAATTGATCCTTCTGAACGATTCCCATGCTAAGGTTTAGTAAGACGGAGACAACTTACACATGCGTGGTTACAAGTGTATATAATATTATATAACGATTAACATCCTCTTAATATATTAAGCTGTTGTTACGTGAGTTACGATGAGTCGTGGCGTAACGGCTGATAGAAAAATCAGATGGCCCGGTTGGCCATCGGATTAATTTAAGAACTAATTTAAGAACACCCGACTGTGGCGCGTGATCGGCGTGAAAATAAAATTAAAACAAAGATTGATTCACTTGAGTTTCAAAACTATCAATGGAAAAAACTTATAGCGATCGTATTTGATTTATTCGGCATTTCGGTGTCGAGCACGCCAAATCATATTAATTTTTTACTGGTTGAATAATAATTAATTTATTGTTAATAATAACTACTCGGTTTTCACTGTTCGATTAGTGGTGGACTTTCAATTTGCAATACGCGTACCCGACCAAAGGTAAGAGCTAATAAGTAATAATATTGTAGTTTTGTTATCATCAATATAAAATTAATACGAGCGTTTAAATATAGTCTCCCGCGATGTGCGCTGAAGTTTGCTTGAATAATATAATTGCGTAGGTACCTACGACCTACCTATACGGTTATTAGTTATTACTTATTACAAACATGCGACGCATAATACGAGTATAATTTATAAATAAATATGACCGACAAAACCATAATTAGGGTTGGGGGCGTTGATGCTGCTACAAGTTACAACGGGGGGCTGTGGCTCCGGGTACCCATGCAGGGTGGCTGATTATGAGGTGTTGGTTGATTATTTTTAAACGTTCATCGCATTAAACCTTTAAATCGTTTTTTAAACTAACAATTTTTGTGTAGGTAGGTATTTGGTGATTTTTCATTGTTTTCCCCTGGCACCGTATTCGTAAATATGGCCCCGAATCTACATGTAATTTATGCACGTCATGTGTCCTTAATATAGTTAGTCACAAAGCTACCTTTTTGTATAAGTACATCATATTATTATATACATGTGGTACAGTACTCTATACCAGTGATTCCCAAACTATGGGTGCAGGCAACCCAAAAGTGGGCCACGGAAAGTTTTAAAATGTAGGTAGGTACTTTTATTTTTTATAATATAGCATATTATTTAGTATTAGATCACCTACTATACCTATGAAATTCTATTTATATTAAGGAAAGTGTCGTCCTGATTCATAATCAACGCAGATCCGAACCTATTATTGTGATCGACTTGAAATTCTGAGGAAAGATTAATATTATAATTTCACAGTGCACGTAGGTATCAAGGATTTTTCAAAATTTTGATTTTAAGGAGTTGAAATCGGCAAAAATAAGTATACGTGTAAACATACGCGTAAAATATCCCCTATTTTTGTATGGTACGCTCTTAACTCAAGAAGCACCCAACGGATTTTAGTAAAGTTTTCACTAATGAATAGGTCTAGGCTCAGAAAAATGTGAAAATGTATAATTTGTTTTGGAGAAATTAATTGGGTGCCGAAAATAATAACAATATTGTAAATAATTTAACGCCGTGCGTCGTATTGAGTGGAGTCGGGTTCGAACTACGAACGCGTTACTTATTTTTTTTATATTGTTTTACCCTACTTTGTATGGTTTATCGAGGAACAGTAACACTTTAATTTTTTTGCATATTAGTTCTTCTTTTTTTTGTTAGAAATTGTAAACTAAGATTATACTTATTGGATATATTTCTTACGTATAAAATACTCCGGTCACAGTGTTCGTTATTGAACTTCTCTGAAACGGCCTGTCCGATTTTCATGAAATTTGTTGTGTATATTTGGTAGGTCTGAGAATAGGTCATAGGCTATTTTTTAACCCTTAAGTATGAAGGGTGGCCCACCCCAAATATTTTTCTCTATTTTAATCCCTATTTACATTGGTCACGGAATCCCGCTTATCGTTTAAAACAGTAAGTTGCATCTATGATATAAAATAGTTAATTTATTATTTCTTAGTGCACTTTATGTATAAAATAAGAATATAATATTATAATACAGTATTTCCTGTATAACTATTGTACATTTGTTACTTTGGTAAAAATTCAGTTTTTTACTATCTGATTATTGAATTGCTTTATCATTATCCACGAGTGTCGCCAGCGGTGACATAGTGACGATAACGTGTCACCACAACTGTGCCGCACTAGTTATCTTAAGTATAGCGATCAACGGAACAACAACAAAAAATGGCTTTCATTAGTATGTTGTGGGTCGCCAAAATTAAAATTTTTTCAAAATGGGTCGTACCGTAAACAGTTTAGAACCCCTGCTTTTCACCAAAGCTAACTGCAGGAATTGCGGATCACGATCAGTGGCGCGGTGACAAAATTTCTAACCCTGGCGCAAGTAGTAAAAAAAAATATAATATAATATGTTTGTGTAGGAGGTATGATAACACATATTCACATAAAATTAACACGGCTTATGGCATTTCTATAGGCTGGTGCAATTTCATTAGGTAACCACCACCGGTCACCACGATTCTGAACTTACGATCGTTTCAAAAATTCTTGAACTTTTGACGAATTAAATAAGCCTATATTCAGTTTGTGATCATTAGTGGAACATGGCCAAAACGGAGTGGTTACATACAAATCGTCTTGTCATTGTGTTCCTCCGGGGTTGTATGCCTATACCTGTACAGTGTACAGGCTATACTATATGTCTATATACATTTAACCCACTGTGAGCATTTTATTAATGAAAGGGACTGTTAACTGTTATTGCAGTATACATATAGGTAGGTCCACGTGTCTAACATAATGTATATTATTATAATATTTTATAGATTACTTTCATCACAGACTAAAATTTGCTTAAAATATTGTGCAACCCGACTTAATTTAAAAATTATGATTACCACTTTCTACAATAATTTTATATTTTTAAAAATGGGTTTGAACAGGGATCGTGCCTCCCTGCAGTTCTGCTCCCCTTAATTCAGGCTTGAATGTAGGTACTACACTAGTGTATTAGGTATACTTAAATTCGCACAGGGATAGACATAGAAGTGTTGGTCAAAATATAAATCGAGGTCTTGAGTCCTTGAGGACATTTTTATGGAGATTTTTTTTTAAATGAAAGTGAAATGCAGAGATTTGTCAATATTAATTTTAGTTTATCATTGTTTT